CCGGGAGGTGTCTGCGCGGAGACCGGCATCCCCGCTGCCGTCCCGCTGCCTCCGAGCGGGTGCGGATGGACAGATACGTGGTTAAACGCCCCTCTGGGGAGGCGGGGGGCGGCGGGAAGAGGCCTCGGCCGGAGGCGCCCGCCTCAGGGCAGCCCCTCTGGCAGGAGATCCGCGCGGAGGGCCTGAGCTGCGACTACCGGCTCCTCTTCAGCAAGGCCGAGGCTGACGAGATCTTCCAGCAGCTGGAGGAGGAGGTGGAGTATTTCGAAGGTAACGGCCTTGGAGGACCCGGCTTCCAGCCCGCCGTGCCCCTGCCCGTTGAAGTGTTTCCCTGCCCGGCCGGCTCAGGCCGGGTCCCAGAATGATTCCCAGGGCCTGGGCAGAGCTGCCAGATGGTGGAGAGGTTTATGCAGGCGCCTGGCGTTTGTAAAATCAGGCCCTGAGAAGTGAAGTGCAAGCACAGGGTCTGATCCCACTTGGTTAATTCTGCTTAGCTTAAAACGTGTGTCAAGTGGTTTCAGTCACGTTTTAATGTTTCCAAAGAGCAAGGGTAGGCCTGGAAGGGTGACAGGAGTTTAGTATAGTATATGAGACGTCCCTGGTCGCATTAACTGAACAGAATATGATGGGGGTGCTTGTCCCATTCATCACATTCAAATGGGATAGTAAAGCAATGTCAGGCTTGAGAGTTACGTGCTTAGTTGGGACAGAAACACTTGAACGTGGCTGACAGCTTTTGAGTTGTCATCAGCATCCTCGTTTCTGTTCACAGAAGCTCCAAGTCGAGGAGACTGTTGAAGCTGTGAACTGCAGAGGCAATAGAGAGTTGGTTTTGATCCTTCTCATCTCTTGTTTAAACAGGCGAAATGACAAAATTGCACGTGTTTGGTAAATGGCACGACATTCCGAGGAGGCAGGTAACCTATGGAGACCCTGAGTTAACATACACTTACTCAGGGGTTACCTTCTCTCCTAAGCCGTGGATCCCAGTTCTCAACCGTATCAGAGACCGGGTCACTTTGGACACAGGACATACTTTTAATTTTGTTCTTATTAACAGGTATGTCCATTTTCCTATTGCATCAAGCAACTTGTTCAAATGAAAAATTGCTTGTGCAACACTATTGACGGGTCACTGACAAGTTGTTTTACACTCGTTCAATTGCATTGGTAGAAGAACTAATTAAATCTGTTTTATGTACAGATATAAAGATGGTGGGGACCACATAGGTGAGCATCGAGATGATGAGAGAGAACTGGTTCCACGCAGTCCGATCGCGTCCGTCTCCTTTGGAGCTTGCAGGGACTTTGTTTTCAGGCACTGTGATTCCAGAGGGAAAAACGCAGTGCGCCACATTGAGCCCATCAAGCTGCAGCTCGCCCACGGCAGCCTGCTCCTGATGAAGTACCCCACCAACGTGTACTGGTACCACAGCCTGCCCACCCGCAAGAGAGTACTTGCCCCAAGAATCAACCTCACGTTTCGGAAAGTGATGACTGTAGCCAAGAAGTGAAATACTCAGCCATCAAGCACCAGGCCTTTTGATTCTGAAAATAGAAGCTTTCTTCCCTGACGTTTCTCATTCAAACACTGTCTTTGATGATCCAAAGTACAAGATTTACAAATTAAACCAGGAGAGGAGATGATAGCCATGACAGTGTACTTGGTAATTTGCTAATAAAGACTGCAGCTACTGATCTTAAATGCCAAGAATCCTTTTTCTCTGTGAAATGTTGCTGTAGTCCTGCTGATACATGTTTTTTATGAATAATACCCTAGTTTTACTCAGGAAGAAGTCTGTTCTCAACTGATCTTAATCCAATTTTCCAAAAAGATCAAAATACTCTATATCCTTGAGATGGTGGTGAAATAGCTTATAAATACCATAAAGTACAAGATGTGATAATGCAGAGTGAGCCTGGAAGCTGATACTGTTCAACAAACAGGTGACACTTTACTTGTATGCTCTGTCAATGAGCTATGGTTTGCTTGTTTTTTAAAAAAATAAAGTATTAATGAGACTGACATGAAAAAGAGGAGCACTAAAATGTGAATACAGTGAGTGCAACATGGCTGGCTGCATCTTTTACAGTCACTGTGCTTTTTCTGTGCTTACATTCCTCTGCTGACATGGGAGACTGGGTTCCTTCGCTCGGTAGCGTGGTGGGGTGGGAGGAAGGGGGAGAGCCTCTTCCTCATGTCCTTTGTCTGAACAGAAGCCAGAGAGCATAAAGTGGCCTGGGGAAGGACTGGGTGGTATCATTTATATGGACAATGCAGTGTGAAAGGCTGTAACTTCTGAGAGTGTCTGTTTTTCTAAATAATTATCCCTAGGGATTCCCTTGTGGCTACCTGACAGCCATCACCTTCCATGCTGACAGTGAATCCTGCTGGAATGAGGAGAGATCATCCAAAATCACCAACAGGTCTTGCAGAACCGGGCAGTGGTGAGTACTGAGCGAGAACGTGAACTGATCCCCATGTAAAACCAGGCTACAGGCATCTGGAATAGTCACAGGCTGTATCCTTCAGCAGCAGGGCCGGTAGGAATTAATGTCTGTTTAGACAAATTTGGAGCTGGTACTTCCCCACTGCCAGAAAATTCTGTATTTAGTGTGAAAAGCTTCTCATGAACGCTGCTTATCCAGATTACGTGAAGTTCATATATACTGAACGCAGTTTGGCTTATAGCTGGGTCTTTGTTTCAAGACACTACCACACGTGGACAGCTGCTTTTTCTAATAAGTTTGTTCTTTTATTGCTACTGTACAGTTACAAAAATACCCTGAAGTGAAAACACAAACAGCAGTGCAGTGGTTTGATTAGAATATCATACATTTTTTTAAAAATAATGCACAAAATAAGACAAGGATAACCCAAACACGGAGATGTCATCTCGCAGGTCTTATCTGATATTTTTTTAACCTTCTAAACACCTTCTCCACCACGGAAGCTTGTGAGTAACACGTGACAGCATTCGATGAGCCTCACGTGCCTGCAGAGAGCCCAGAGACTTCCAAAGGGGTGGCAAACATCTGCAGAGGTCTTTGGTGCTCCCAGGGGTATCTGGCACAGCTCTGGACCAGGACTGCAGTACTTGATACTTGCTCCCTTCCTCACGCTGAGGGCTAAGCCAAGACCATCTACTCCTTCCTAACAGGGAAAGCTAGAACAAATGCTGACTTACTCAACCCTCATCTTTATGGCCCTTGAGGAAGCTTTCAGAGTAAATCTGCAGCTGAGTGGAACTGAGCAGTTTATCAGTGTTCTACAATGACTGTGCTTTCATCCTCATCAGACTGGCCTGTTGGAAAGCAGCTCTATGCAAAAGAAAAATATATATTGAACATGCAATCTCGCAGTAATATTTGGCTTTATGTCCCTGCTACAAGCTGATGAGTTTTAAGACTTAGTCTGTTGTGTGCGTATGCTCTGACCCACCTCCAGCATTACTGCTTTCGAAACAAAGTGACCTCTTCAGCTGAACTTCACAAAAATTCAGCATTAAAAGCCTTAAACAGACCCTGTTGACAATAGGTACTGCAGAATATACGCTGCTGGCAGTGGAAATGTTTTGAAGTTCTGAGATACAAATGGTAAGAGCTGCTGGACGCAGATGCTTTGCGTGATGTTTTTTCTCAGCGCTGCTTTACAGAGCTCTCCTGCATGCCCGTGCTGCCCAGAATGGAGAGCTTCTACCTTCTGTAAGTCCCTTTGGGCTTAGTTCAGTGGCCAGGCCATTTTTGGCATTTTTGCATCCTTCTAGGGATTTTTTTTTTTCTTCTTGTTTTTCCATAACTTAAAATAGAAAGGTTAAAACCACACTACTGCTAGCCTAACACAGAGAGACTTCTCAGAAACTAGTACATCGGTGGATTTATAAAGACTTATGTATAATGAGCATCGCTTGGAGCAGGAATTGTGATCCATACTCTGGAATGATGACTTGTGTAAATAGTTTTGCATATACATCCATTACTGCTCCTATTTTGGCTCGTTCTGAGCTTCCCGTGAAGGAACTCTGAACACCTGTGAGCAGCAGTATGAATATCTGAGGTACAAAGTTGCCCTAAAAAATGCCAGTTGTTACCATTTGATAATTAGTTGCTGTTTTACACTGAAAAATCTGGTCTGATCAATTAAGTCTTTTTTTTCCCCTCGAAGCTTACAAGGATAGAAAAGAGCTAAAAATAGCCTACATACTTTATTCCTGGTGATTAAAAGCCGTCAAAAGGATAATTGTTCCTGCTTCTCCCTCCCACGCTTTGTTTGGGCTTTATTTTTTTGACATGTCAAACAATCTAGAGCCACAAGGGACACTTCTACTCAGATGGGAAGCTGTATCTAATGCAGTGCCACTGGTCTTTTCAGGCTGCTGTACTACTTCACAGGACAGTCCTGATTCCATTGAGCATGCTCTAACTTAACACGGGGCCGGGGTTGCTCTACACCTCTGCTCAGTCACAGCTGGTACAGGCTCTAAGGCTCAGCCACAAGCCAGGCAGCGTGTTGGGAGGGTTGATGAGAAATGGCAGTTTTCAGCATTAAAATAGGAAGGAACACCGATTACAGTAGCCTTGCAATCACAGCATTAAAAGTTGTAGTTAGTACTACAAGCAACTGTATTCAAGAGTTTCAGTGATGAAGGAAATTACAATACTGATTGCTAGCACACACTTCTGTTTCTTGATTTCAGCTATACTCTGAAGATACCAAGCAATGAATCAGGGTCTTGGCTCTTAAAAAAAATTTGTCTTTTCTCCTGGAAAAGGGGAACTGCACTCTGAATCAGAAGAACTGCTATGATGTATAAAGAACTAAAATACCAGGAAAATGATGTGAACAGGGAAGTTGTTTTTTGGATGGTGCATGTTATGTAGAGATGCCTCACTTTATTAATTTGCTGGGGTATCAGATCTGATTCTGTCAGTAGTTCATCCCGTCATCTTGAGACATTTATCAGAACGCAACCGACATGCAGTGGACTCAGACAGTGGTATGGTAGCTATTCAAATAAGCTCAAGGCACTTTGTTTCTTAAATCATTGCCTTTGATAACAGCAGCTTCCTGTCAACCGCTTCTGGGGATCCCCTGTTCCAAAACGTCTACGGTGAAATGTGTGGGATTAAGCATCTCTCCTTGAAACTTGAAAATTTACATACACGTCAGAATACGGAAAAGAGCCTTGGGAAGTCTGTTTGAAATGTCTGTTTCAGAGCTGTGATGTTGACAAAATTGCTACCTAACAGAATAAATGCTTCTCTAACACAGATATACTTTGGACTGCACAATCTTAGCAGACCAACTTTGGGCAGCGTAATTTTGGTACAAAAACACGACTCCCAGCAGGAGCCAGCCGTTGCCATAGAGGGAGGAGAATGTTAAAGGGCCTGTGGTGGGTTATTTGCATAACAGACAAGAGGTGCAACGTAGCTCTCAGAGGAATTTTATCAGTTTTTGTCCTTCTGCTCTCTGAATCAGTCTTCAGCCTTCAACTCCAAGCTGTGGTGTTGTACCCTCGAGTGAACACGCTCGTAAAAAAGCAAGTAAGCGCTGGAAGAAAGGACTTCCTGCAGACTGGCTTTGCGAACGGTGTCGTCCGAAATCCAGAGCCACTGAGTGCTGACAGAGAGGGGGCTCTTGGGAGAAGGGGGGGAGCGGCGGTAAGTCACAAAGTGTCCAGAATGCATGTCCCCGTGATGCACTACGACTGCCATCAGACGGTAAAGGTAAACGGGGGAACTGAAGGAGAAAGGAGGAGAAAGGAAAGGGTCAGCGGCCCTCGTGGGCAAAACATACCAGAAGCAGCCCCGCTTGCTTTGTCTCCAGCTGCTTTCTTTTCAGAACAGATAGATAGCTCGGCAACAGACACGCTGCCTTGCAATTTCAGTACACTGAGTCTTTGCTGCAGTGATGCCTTATTCCATTATCAAGAAAACCAAACTATTTAAAAAGTTTATGCTGCAGAGGGCCACTACATTTTGTACAGCATAACTGATTGAATTTTGCAACAGCGTTCTCCATCCAACCTGCCAATGTGCCGGTGTTTAGTTCTTAAAGCACTGTTATTGGACAGAAAAACTATTCCAGCAGAATGTGCTTTTAACTGAAGAGAGGTAAAATTGCAGTGGTTAACCCACAGATAACAATGGACGCGCTTTCAAGGACTTGCTTTACAACCATCTTCATAACAAACATTTGGCACAAAATGCTTCCAGGCTTCTCGTTTCACACAGTGACTGTGGGAACTGTCTTCCTCACAGGGAAAATATGCAACAGCCAATAGAAGAAATGGTATAGAACTAACTACACATTGGCCCCCAGCATGAAAATATGTGTTTTCAAAGGCCAAGAGAACAGATAAGCAGAAGGATCAAGGCTGATTTACTAAGTAGAATCACAGCAGTTGCAACTTAAATCAAACTTGAGTTTTTAAAAAAATATCTGTAAGAGATCAATGCAATAGTTTTAAAGTCAGAGTAAGAGAAAAAAATGAAGGGGTAGAAGAAAACAACAAGAATATGGCTATTCAGAAGGATGATCTCCTGCACCACGCACCAGAGAAAGGAGACTTTGAGTTTTGCTTGCAATATGCTCCACTCCTGCCAAAGAGAACCCCTGAAAAATCAGCCAGGAAAAAAGCAAAAAATTTATGCCCAGGAACTAGGATAGATGTTAAATTCCGTGGCTATGCAGCCTCAAAATAAAGACAGAATAAAGGAAGATGTAATTTGAAGGGACAGAAGTTAGAAGATGGGGTACCAATCTCTTAACTTACCTGCATTCAGGGAATGCAGCAAGTGGGAAAGTTCCCGAGGACATTAAAAACGAAGAGGAGCAGGCACCGTTCATGAAGACTGGTTTAGGACCAGATGGCTGTTCTGCCTCTGCAAGAGGAAGCAGACCCTCAGTCATTTAACTGAAATGCTACTATTAGTAATGCTAATAACTGCTTCTGTTCCTGCCGTACCTTTCATCACAGAATATGAAGGTATTTTACTTATTTTAATTCATTACATTCTACAATCCCTTAGAGAGATGCACAGGAGTATACTATCCAAAGCCTGCTAACTGTTTTTACATGACAAATAGGAAAGCGACCGCATCTACAGAATCCCCAAACTAAACAGAATATTGAGCTGCCTAAATGGTAGACCTACTACAGCTAGATTTTTCTAATAGTTTTTTTAAGAAGTCACCATTCCCATTCTTGTTGTGCTTGTCCTGAAACCTTAGAGGAGACCACTAGCAAGATAATCCCCAGGACTTCCCGAGTTCAACATTCCTTTACCCTTTGGATGTAAAATACACAGGTTCTGTGCTATCTGGGATTTTTTGTTTGTTTGTTTGTAAGGTTTTTTTAATATTTAGTAGAATCAAATTCTCAAAACAGAACTCTAAATGTGGAACGAGGTATCCTAATGGTGGCTGGGAATTTCCCCCTGTCCTCTCTGCACAGATCCAAATAAAGATACTGCTTTTACGTTCATTCTGCAGATTAGAATGTTTATCACTGAAATGAAGAAATACCTGATATATTTTATTTTCAATAGTACCTGAAGGTTTTACTGCTGTCCCATCCTTTGTTCCAGGTGTTGTCTCTTCAGAGTTTTTCTGATTCAGCTCATTCTGGCTTGATTTATGAACAGGAATACGGTATTTGTAGATGTCCATGATCAGGAACTCATTGAACTGTACGTGCTCATGACGTTTCAGAGGAGCACCTTGGTTGGACCAGCTCAGTCTTTGCAGATGGATGCACAAACACTGAGGAAGCTTCAGCAACATTCAGTAGAAAAGGAGAGTCAAAATACATATTAAGCGAAGAGAAGCAGCTGTTCAAGTTAAAAGCATACTGAGGGAATGGGTAAGTCTAGTGGCTAAAGAAACGCACCCCTGACCTGTTCCCTCGCGTGCTGCTCTATCTGTGTGTAAGGTTACTGGTAGTAGTGTCCCTTGGACACGACACAACTCACAGCTCTCCTGAGATTTCTGATAACGCTGCTACTGCTGGCTCCCTAGGCAGCAGGATAGCTAACGTGAATCGTTTTCTTCAAATGGAAAAAAAAAAAAAAAAAAAAAAAAACTAAAAAAGCTCACCTGTCAATCTCATCTAGCTTGTTGATCTGTGAGGTAGAAATGAGGACTGCAATCTGTCAGAGCGAGTTGTTGCAAGACGTTTGCTAATACTCACTAAGTAATGGCTTTGCACAGTGAGAGTACCAGGGGAAAAAAGGTCGAGTAGTTACAAATGAAAGACATTCAAAGTCATACCAGGGTTAACCTCTAGCAATAAGTACATAGTATTATTCGTGGCACCGGAGGCTCTTAATTACAGACCAGTGCCCTGTTGTCCTCTGCATTATATGATTACAGAGCAAAAAATGATAAGAGCTTCTCATATAATTACACCTGGTATTTAGCACCATATTCACCTGTTTAAACCTGCTGTATTAAGAACATCTTAATTTCTTTGAAATGTGCAATTGCTAAAGATGCTATTTAATATATATTATATACTGTAATTATATGTATTACCATTATTATTGTAGTTACATATATTGTATATTTACTATATATTATATATTGTAAATATGAATCACTTCACTTACTGAGGAAATCAAGAATTAATGCAAGACACATGAACTGCCACTGAGCCAAACTCACTTGCTGAATAACAGGAGAAAACATTCTTTAAGCTATAGAGTTTGAAGTTTTGCTGAATTGAGGCCTCAGTGCCTACAAATATTTGAAGTATGAGCTTACTTAAGTAAAACACTAGTCTAATACCAAGAACTGGGCATTAAGCAAAGAGATCAAAGAACAAATTCACTGTATGACAGGATTTAAAAATAGATTTGGAGGATTAGCTTGCCTCACCTTTCCTAACTTTAATTGCTTAACAAATGTTGTTCTCTGGTTTTCTATGCTCTGTCCATTCAGAGTCCCTTCTGCCTGAATCTGAAATCAAAGGGAAAAAAATAAAGTCATTTGATTAGCTGCTGTATCAGACTATGCATAATAGTGCAGGTCTGCACACTGCAGACAAAAGCAATTGTCTGACTAGAACTATGCTCAGTGCACTAATTTTATCTACAGTTTTCTAGGAATTTTCTCAAGAATTGTTGGCCTGTCTTAACGCATCAGAATTCTAAACCAAAATCAAGCAGAAATGCGCATTTACAGAACAAAGCCAGGCCTCCAGGTTTATGTGTAGTCATAAGCCATTTCTGTTCATCTTCAATCAAGCTGCTTTGGCTCTGTGCTATCATCAAATGACAAGCAGCTGTAAAACACTGCTTAAAACACCACAACAAAAAAAAATTATCCTAGATATTATCTAAATAATACCTTGTAGTTACAGAGTAAATTATTTGTAATATTAGTAATAAATAAAGCTTCACTCCATTTTAAATATTAAAAAAATCCCAAGCAGGCTAGAGGCTTTCCTGAAGTCACCAAGAAAGGACTAGAAAACTCAATCCATGATTCTGTCAGCAGGCTTAGAACTGAGCTAGAAGGTTATATAAATTAAAATGACATACTTTAGTGCAGTTGTCACACACAACATCCTTTACAGATTCAGAGGAGATGAAATGATGGAGGCAGTGGTCCAGCGTCATAGGACGACCCTTAGTATGAAAAAACCAAAATTATTTGCAGTAATTTTAGGGTGTGCACCACTTAATTTTGTGAAAGGATTTTTCCGTAATTTCTTCCATAAAAACTACAGAATCGCAGACTTATTTCTTGGGGAAAATGACAAAATGGCTTTGCATATAGAACAGTGATAATGTAACTATGGGGATTCTTCCTCAGCCTTGATTAAGCATGGAAAACACTGCAGCCTGCAGATAAGAACAATAGCTCTGACTCCCTGTTTGACTCCTTTAGTGGGGTTTTAAACTACAGTCCTGGCCCTGTTAATATTTTTCTCTAAAGTTCCAGCACTTCATGGGTCACTTCATGCACACTGACCCTCTACATAGGAGAAACACAGCATTTAATGGAATTTTGGCACTCCTTCCTTGTAAACCGTACTACACACTGCCGAGTACGAAGGGCATAATCCTCAGTGATGGCATAAAATAATGTGTCCAAATCCCAATCCTAGCTGTATCCTGTAGGTACGCATCACGAGTTTCCCCGAGTGCAAGTAGTTGCTGCTTGTCTGGAAAGACAAATTGCTAGCAGACATTAAGTAACAAACTGTTCTAGTTCAGAAACATCCTGCACATTTTGCCCCCCAAATCCACAGTGTTTTGTCACTTGAAGTTTTTGAGAGCCAAAAAGAAATTTCTGGTTGAAATCACTTGATCTAAAAGCCTGTATTACTATCACCACAGAGACAGTGCACCCAAAGGTCACCTTCCAAGACTGCCAGAAACAGCCATCGGGATACGATCTGGTCTGTTCAGATTACACAGAAAGGACAAAATCCTCCTCCAAGGAGGAACAGAAAACTATGGGTGTCAACAAATCCATGCTTGTTGTACTGATTGGTAATTTGCACCAAGACGTTAGCTATAAGGTACTGTATTAGCACAACAGGATCATTTATTAAAAGGCAAGAAAATAAACTGTGGCTACTCATTTACACTTAGGCTGTAGCATCTTAAAAAGGCACTGGTGAAGATAAAGCTGTGACGAGAAGGCAACAGGCAGAGCAGCTGGATCATCCATCAGCAAGGGATACGTACCCACACGGCGGCAGGAATGCTCAGCGAGAGGCTGTCGAAGGTATCATACCTCACAGGACTCTGCAGAGAAGTATTCCACATACCCAGTGAGCTGGAATTTATAACAGTCCAAAAAGAAAAAAAAACCCAAACCAACAAACCCCCAACCAGCCTCACCGAAGATGACCACATTCCCTCTGCTATCCACAGTCATCTGGTGGAATAGGGTTAAACCACCCACTTTCCCAAGCACAGCACCTGTTTCTGCTGAAGCTGCCCCTGCTCACTTAAATTCCTTCACAAGGTTTTGAAAACTCAAAGTAATAAACGTGCCTTTACAGCTTGATCTACAAATGAGATTTATCTTCCATGTTTTTTCTTTATCCAGGTTACCTTCACCTCCTTACTCTGGATAACTGGACTCCAACTTGGCTTTGCATGTGCAATCTCAGTACTGCACGCTGAATGAACAGCTCGTCCTAAAACACTACCCACGTGAGTGGATTTGCAGTGCTACTGAATACTAAATATAATAAGACAGCTATTATCCCCACAAAGTGGATCACGTTTCATTTTCTTCAGTATATATAGTGATACATTCTTATTGGTTACCAAAACCGTAACAGGTACCTGAAAAAGTAACAGTCTGAGCTGTCAGTCCTGCAAACCTTTGCACTATGTCAGAAACAAGGGATGGTGGTTTCAGCACATGCTCTGGGTGTCAGACATCCTTCTTCACATACACATATTACCAGACACACATTCTTATACCTGGTGTTCACAGTGTTTGCAAACCATGTTGCTCGTCAGCCTTCCATGAAAAGGATGCTGAGATTTCCAGTGATTTGACACAGGGGGAAGAGACCCTGAAACAAAAAGTTAAAATTGTCCTTTTATTTTCAATACATCTCTGTTCATCACTACAATTCCACATTTTTGGCCCACAGTAACAAAAGTAACTGCTCTAAAACATGTTCTGTCCTGCTGACGTTTGTTTTTACAGCTGAAGAGATCTATTTCAGTCCAATACAGACAAAAATCAATTAATAGTATCTCCTTAATAAACAAAGTGACCACATTATGAATATTCATATTTCAAAATGGAAAAAAGCATACCTCTTGTTCTGCAGCTTATTTGCTTTTGGGTTATTTCTGGCTGCTACAGAGGAAGATAAAAGATTTCATTAACCTTACCTTAGAAACCATTAAGTATTAAATATGCTAATTTTTTATCCCTAATAAACTTTTCTGACATTAGAACAATTTTGGGAGTTTTAGTGTCTCTATATTTGAGGAAGGCCAAAAAACCTGGTACGCAACAAATTGATTATTGGCACAAAGAAAGCTTCTAATAAAATGAATGGTTAATCTGCAGAAATCTTTGCCTCAAAGTACAAAAATAAAAATGTAACTGATTTTATAAACCTTTTGGGTATATTTTAGACAAAAAGAGATAGAAACTTTCCATCTGCAAGAAATTTACCACTAAACAATAAGATAAATTTCACCTTCAAATGGCCTATTCCATAAATGTCCCTTTTGCAGTTTTCAAACCTCTTTCATGTGTTGACTCTTGCAGATAAGAGTAACTTCTTAGACAGACTACTGTTATGTTCTGTTCTAGTATTTCAATCCCTATGTTCCAGGGATTTAGGAACGCAAAAGCCCTCATGAAAGTGGGATCACTATAAATTTAAATACATTTGCCTACAAAACCCATTTTTTTATTCTTTAGATTACCTGGCCTATTGGTTCATTTCTATCAGAGTACTAAAGAACAGCTTTATAAACGTAACAAAAATATCTTCAGTTTCTAAACAGTCACTTTATACTTGACACATTTAGGAATCCAGGCAGACTATGGAAACTTCTCCCAATAACAAAATAACACTGGTAAAGCAGTCACCTCCAGCGAATGCACATCGAACAGATGTGTCACACGTGGCTGACGATCCCGTTCATCTTCTAACGAAGAGGTAAGGACATGAAATAATTCGTGAGCATCCTATTAAATAGAGGCATAAGACTTAGAGGAAGCAAAAAAACAAAAGACATCAAAACATGTCAGGAGTACTGATAACACAGATGACTACATCATTGTAGTAGGAAATTAAAGGGAAAATTACTGCTTAGAGCTCACCTTATGTATTAATAGTAATAATTTGTGCATCTGCTGCAGTTTTGCCAAAAAAGCTTTTTCTATAAACTTTGTAACAGCACACATCATTGAAAATATTCTGGGCCTTATAAACTCAAGAGATACTAAAAGGCTTGGAGGCAAAAAGAAAAGTGAATGCACAAATGCCTGCTTTCCTTGATTTCAATAAAAGCATAATGGACATCTCTGCTGTTTGCTTTGGCTCTGAAATATAAAAGACAGAACCATGTTTTACGAGTGAGGTAATTGGTCAAGTGCATCGGCCAGCCGCCACACACTTAGGGGCTGAAAACACTGAGACCAAGGATTGGACATCTGGTATGTTAAGTGTAACTAAATCTGGCAATGTCAGAGGAGTCCATCGCTCGATGCAGCGCGGCACCTTAGCCCAGAGCCGTTACCTACAGCCAAGTTTGGGCTGTAGCTGTTCTGTTTGAATATTACTGGCTCCGTTCTACCAAACCTGAAGGTAATTATGAGGTTTTGAAGCAGCCAGAGTTTTCATCACGCGTTAATCTAAGCAAACTGAAAACACCATTCATCAATCACATGGTGGCTTTCATTTTTTAAAGCAAACTTTGCAACAGCAACGATTCCCATGTGACGCTCAGGGCTGTTAGTACCACAGCTTCAATTTTCTGTCATCCCATCTCTAAGCACTGAGGTGTGTAGCAGGCAGTCTAACTTCAATTCTGTAATCACCTGCTCTTCAAATGATGAGATCTGCCACCTGTACATTCTTAAAACTTCTAACAGGCAGCTTGCATCCAGGACATCATCTTCTGTTACCTCTTGGCAGGATAAAGCTAGAGACATTGCATTTAAAAATGTTAGAAGGAGCCACAAGAAACAGTTAGAAACACAAATCTGTTTCTTTTAGACCATACGTTACTTATGCATCGTATAACTGATTACTGCAAAGTTATTCTTGATTAAGACAAGGGAGTTACTCTTGATTAAGACGGGTAGGCAATGACAATCAAACTAGTATTTATTAATTACCACTCAACTGACTCAGGCTAACTGACTGCATACATTCTCCTCACCTAATACATATGCAAAGTGAAAGGTTTCTCAGCTCATACAGAAACAACATAAACGCTATCTGGAAAGACAAATTTTTACTGGTGGATTGGGTAAAAATTGGTACTTTACATGTCACAGAAACCACAGTATTAATGCCCCATCATCCTTACATCAGGACACACTTAAGTGGCACAGTTTTAGTTTGAACAGTGTCCTGAGACAGAAAAACTTCCGATGGATTTCCTTTAAAACAAAGCCCTGTGAGGGAAGGCAGGGAGAGCCAGCAGATTGCTTAAACATTTCAAATGCTTAAAGAGGATGTAACTAATACCTGAATTTAACACGGGGGCAAGTCTGAGACAGCTTACCAAACTGAGCTTAGAGGCTTTAACATACGTATCCCACATCATACAAAGTGTGTATTACCAAAAATAGTCCATATTTTTTGGTAAAAGAGCAAGCTTAGAAAAAAATGAGTTATTTTATCATGCATTAATTTCCTTTTATATAGAATTCTGAGTGCCCATCTAACTGTGATAATATTTTCCTATTTCTTCCATATTACCGAGTCCATTTTCATACTGTTTTAACCATTAATATTCTGTGAACAGCAAATGCATCACAGCCTGTGGCAGCAGATGGCATAACCACATTTTTAGCACCCCTGTTGCCCTCTGCCTCGATTTGTTCACCCTGTTGGCAAACAGCTTCTTCGGAGCAACACGCACGATGCTGGCTTGGCTGCTTCACGATTGCCAGGCGAGTCAAACAAAACCTGAAACCCTTCAGCTCTTGGCCAAGAAACAAACAGCTTTGGGGACACACACAGCCCAGCCTTGCGCTGTTCAGGCTCAGTACAGTAACCTAATACCTCTGGGATTGTTGCCCCTCTGTGAAAGTTGGTTGAATTTGGCCAATGAGTTCAAAAGTGAGTAGAGGAAAATTAAAAAGAGAAGAATACGAGACACATGAGCTTTCTTTCTTGAGGGAAGCAGGCTAGAAGCAATAATGTCAATGCTAAGTATTTTCTTCTTAGTTTATCAAAACATTAAAACATTCAAATACCTCTTAGGAGATGCAGCAAAGTGACTGACAGGTATCGATGCTCAGTGGACTGGTTCGGGTCTCTCTTGTACTGTGCTGTAAATTCCTCCAGCCACTTGATGAAAGAAGGGCAGGAAGATAAGCCTTGCAGCAAAGAGTTCATGAAACAAGTGTTTCCTAAGTTCAGAAGGCCAGGTACAAGCCCTGCAAATAAATGTGTGAGAGTTTATACCATAAAGTCTAGGAAAACCTTACAATTTTTCGGTAGCAAGTGTTGTGTTAGGCATTAAAATTAAATTTTTTCTGTCTCTTTGATACTTGCACCCAGTGAAAACGAGATCCTGCTACAGTGTTTATACACATGGTGGGCTCTGAGACTTACACCACTAAAATATTTTTTTTAATTTTCTTTTTTTTTTTTTTTTTTTCCCCTGATAGGAGTAAATTTCTACCAACGACACTGAGGTTCAGGATTATCTGCAAGTTACTGTACAAACTGTAAAACTCTTGGTTACAATATATAGCGTGGGAGCCCCTTACTGTACAGGTATCCAGCAGCCTCGGGGGTCAGCGCTGATGCCTCAGCTTAGCTCAGTGAAGCTCTTTTGCTCAGGTGAGTACGTTGTTACGAAAACCCCCGGTTTTTAATCCCCCTCGCCAAGGATTAATAAGTATTTCTGTATGACTCTGCTTAGCAAGAGACTTTCGCTTCTCTTGTGCCTAATGCTCACTAAGAGCGTGTTTATTTTGCATTCCAAAGTGCAAAATAAAGCGTGTTATCTGCAGCAGTTCAGTAGTGAATTTACCACAGGGGACGAAAATACAGAGTCACAATTTCAGAGGGATGTCAATCGATATAATTAATAGATTATGTAAGTGACGAAAAGTCCTTTGTTCAATTCGTACTTTTAAATTGGTTACATTTCTAAGCAGGAAAGTGACCAAAATCTTTAGCAAGGGAAAAAAAAAAAATTACAGGCGCTAACAATCCAAACCAGCAATAGGTGCGTTTCTAACACCCAGGAGAAACCGGGAAGCGCCAGCCTCAAGTCCCGGGGGTGTCCCGGGGGTGTCCCGGGGGTGTCCCCGGGCTGTCCCCGGCCCTCCCGGCCCCTCGGCCCTTCTTACCTTTCCTACGCCTCTTCCTCTCGGCGATGGGACCCCACAGCACGTACAGCCCCGCCGCCAAGGCGGCGGCCACCCCCCCGATAACCCCCCAGTTCTTCATCACTTTATACCTGAAACGGGAAGAAAAAAAAACAAAACAAAACAAAAAAAACCCAAGCGGGGAGTCGCTCCCGCTGCCTGCGGAGACGCGTATCAGACGCGCGGGGGCAGGCAGCGGACGCCCAGCAGGCTCCCGGTGCTCGGTGACCGCCTCGGGGAAGGGATAG